TGTGTGTGTGTGTCTGTCTGTCTGTGTTGAGGGACTGAGGAGGGAGCGACACAGGGGAGGGGGCGTGAAGAGAGGCTTCAGAGACCTGTGGTGGAAGGAGCAGCCTACCTCTGCCCCTTTGCCCCTTAGAAGGACTAATTCTGTCATTGCTTCATGGTGTGTGTGTGTGTGTGTGTGTGTGTGTGTGTGTGTAGGGGGGGCAAGGTATGGGGAGGGGATTCGGCATGAAATTGTTTCTTCTCTCTCCTGGGCCATAGTACATATTTTATCGTTCATCTGGAGATGAGTAAATCCTAATTCTGTTTGGGGGAATTCTGTTTGAAGGGAATATATATATATATATATATATATATATATATATATAGTGTGTTTCTTAGCAGTATCCCAAAGCCCAGCCTTCAGCGTGCCTCCTTGTCAGAGCAAAGGTCTTTAAATCCAAGGAGGAAATGAGCTCTCTCAGTTCTCCTCATGGGAAAGTGGAGTTGGGGAAGTGGATGGAGAGAAAGATCAGTTTCATTAACATCCCTGGTGATTTTGCCAGTTAGAGGGTATGAAAGTACTCCCCCCCTTTTTTTTCTGAGCATCAAAGTTACTTTTAAACCAGAAAGGATGGAGAGTACATTTCCTGGTGGCTTTGAAGAGTCCTGACACAAAACTAGCTAGCTCCTTCTGTATCTCCCTGGATGGTATTCTCTTTCCTCCAGCCACCTTGCTTGTCTTTATCTTTCTAAAGTCTAGAGTCCTTGGATCTCCTTTTGATTTTGTGGATAGCTTGGTTATAGAGTAGAGTCAGTGTCTTGGCAGAGAAAGTTTTCCCCTCTTTTGTTTTTACTAATATCATTTAATGATCTTAGTTTCAAGGTTTTGTTGTTTATCTTATTCCTGGGAATGTTTTCTAGGGAGTAGAGAATTTAATTCCTGCATTTCCAAGAGTGAGTAGAATGATTAAATCCTTTAAGATGCTGGACAAGAATATGAAAATTCATGATCTTGCATCATTAGTTTGATACAAGAGAAGTTTGTGAGACACTAAATATGTAGGGAAGTATTTGTTTTGTATTAAGTGTATTAAGTGATTGGTTTTGATTTACGTTAATTGTGAAAGTGTGTTTGTGAAAAAGCAAGAAAGTGAGCACAAGTAGAGACCCGCCCCTTCTCCCATTCCCTGCAGGAATGTAAGAATTCACCTTCTCTGTCTCTTCATCCCCAACTTCTACCTCCGGACTTGTTTTTATACACAATGTGAACTTTTATACACATTGCAAGAGCAGGATTGAATACATTTAAATGCCATGGTTCTTAGTACTTAGCTCTGGTTTGACTTTGAATAGGACAAAAAGGATGCAGATGTTGTAGGAAAAGATTTGACCCCGCTCGGCTAATTTTAATTTTTCTAAGTTAAATGACCTATTTAGACTGGTGGTTTAAATTAGATTGTTTTCCAAAGGTCTGCAAGTAATTTGCAGGTGATGTCTCAACAACACATTCTTAATTATTTTATTTTATGGGGTTTCGTACTCTAAGACCGTGTTTTTTAAGTAGAAAGAAAGAAAATTATATTTGGGCAAGAATTATCACCTTCAAAGTTAATACAGATTGCAACTATCACATTTTTTTTCTCTTTCTGGAGTGGGACACATAAAAAGCATTTATTCTGAATAGGGAAATCTATGCTCTGGACTGTTGACATGCATACACTATTCTGATTTCTTTGCCATGTAAAACTTGATGGCAGAAGATAAGGAAATTTACTTCATTTGGAGAAATGAGTTGTGGCATGCTTTAAAAAAAACTCTTTACTTGCAATGTATTTGGTATTCTATTTTGAGTTTGTCTTTTTTACTAAGCCAGATATATTAATAAAGAATGGATTATGCTAAAAGGTCAAATAAGGATCAAAGTCGGTTCTATTCACAGATTTTAAAGGAATGAGACATAGTTTTTCTGAAGAATATCACACTTAACATTTTTTAGCTTTTTTAAAAAAATTGTATAACACTAACAAGGAATTTAACATAATGTCCTGAAAGTTCTTTAAGTGTCAAACCTTTGGATTTTTCCTGTTTAATCTTCTTTAATATTACATAGGCTTTTCATACTTAGTTTAACTATCCAGGCTAATTCCAAGTACAGTTTGCTTACTATGAAAGATAAGACTAAGGTACTATTTTCTTATAGAGACTTTTTGACCCTGATTGGAAGCCAAATAATTGACTTGTATATTTAATTATCTAAGCATTTTAATATAGTAACATCATAAATCAGAGCCAGGTAGAATATAAAAATCTTATATGAAAGGATACATTAAGATGATGAAGCAAGAAACTGTCTTGTGGCCATACAATTTTACCAATTATTCCTTTTATGATTTGGAACAGTGAGCCAGAAAGTTACTGGTTCTGATTTACTGGACCTGGAAGTGATGTTGCTCAAGTATTTAGACTGTTATGTACATGTAACTATTGACACAATTATGTGCACACTGCCCTCTCCTGCTCCTTTCAAGTCATAAGCCTAAGGTAAGAGATACGATGGAAAAACAGAATTAGGTGCTACATTACCTTTGGATGTAATCATGTATTTATGGACCAGGCCTCATATAAAGACTGAGGACAAAATAATGTGTAAAATAATGACAGCCAGAGATGTAAAACTTCCCAAATGTACATACAGACAACTTCTTGAGAAGAAAAGAGAAACTCCCTCCACCCACCATGTGTGAGTTCTTTACCAAGAAGAGAGGGGAAAAGCTACAATTGGTCAAGCAAGACAATGAAGTACACCTTTTTTTCCCCACTTAAAATCAAGATGGAAAAGAAATTTGCCCTGGAAACTTGGTTCTCTGTTTCTATGTTCATTTATTCTCATTCAAATAGTACTTCATTATGGAATTGCTCCATTCTATTAATAGCCAAAACTCATAAAAATAATTTGTATTACTGATGATGTTATACATCTTGAATTGTTCTTAGAAGCCTGGAGTAAGTAGTATTTTTTCTTTTCTTTTCTTTTCTTCTATTTCTTTCTTTCTCTTCTCTCTTTCTCTCTTTCCTTCTTTTTCTCTCTCTTCCTCCCTCCCTCCCTCCCTCCCTCCCTCCCTCCTTGCCC